GCCCTAATGAAGCTGGTGTGTTACTCTGAAGAACAAAATACAAAACCTTCTTACAAGTTGCATGCCACAGAGTTACACTCCACATGGAAATTGAACTTTTAAATTCTCTATACCACCTCTACCATGAGAACAGACAGCTTCAATAATGAGGAATAATTGAAAGCATCCAGGAAACAAAATATAAAGATATGAAAGATGAAATAAATGCATCTAGATTATAAAGCAAACTGAGTGCTGACATTTATAATGAGATTGATCTGTGCAATTTGCTTAATACATCCAGTTTGCAGAAAATGGGAATTGCAATAGGATTAGGACTTTGTATCTTAAGCACGAAAAAAAAAAATGTTAACTCCTAACCTTAAAAGGTGCATTCAAATGGTAGCTGTATACACTTTTCTATTTACAACTAAAATTAAACGGTACTTTTTTATTGACTTGTGCAAGCAAGAATCTACACACACTTACATATTTTCCATAATAAAAATGTTTGTTTTAACATCATCATTACCGTATTCTATCCACATTATTTCAAATCAAAATAAAAAGAAAAAAAAAAAAAAAAAAAAAAACAACAACAACCATTCAGCCGTCTCGGGTTCACGTATTGCTTTTCTTTTTTTAAAGAAAGCAACTTGTTTTGTTTCCTTTGTTCTCTTTTTATTCGAATAACGAGATTCGAACATCGGTAAACTACTGTCGCCTTAATTTAAGTATTTTGTAAATAACGCTCAAGTTCACATTATTGCGACAAACAATGGGAGAAGTTTGAACCTTATGTCACTGATACATTGTTTACGTGTAATAAGTAATAGACGCCACTCTAATATAGATATATTTGTATTTCTTATTTTAATCATTTCTCTAGTCTCAAAATCAATTAGTATGCATGTGAAATTTTTTTTTCTGAAACCGTGCCTCATATCAATTCAAATTCATGATCAATATACATGTCAGTTTTACGTGCATCAATTATTTTCGCTATTTTTCTATATTTTTTTCCGGAAAGCTTTTACGAAATACACTTAAAATAAAACCTTAATGAACGTTACATTTGTCTGTATATAAAAGCGTGTTATTGTCGAAGCCAAGATAAAAACACGCTATGTAAATTTTAAAGAAATCCATATTCTGGAGAATGGAGCTGAAATTGTATTCAAATAACATCATGGAGACTAGTATGCGATAATAAATGATATGTGATCAATATCCTAAAAGGCAATCACCGCAATATGAAAAAGTATTTTAAACAATCGCACAACTACCACCGTCATCATCATTAATCGCACCACCACCACCTCCTCCTCCTCCTCCTCCTCGTCCTCTTTCTCCTCCTCATCCTCATCATTATCATCATCCATCACATTCTTGCTTTCTCAAAAGGTGGCATGGCATTAATAACAATAGGTTACAGAGTTGGAATGAAATGTTAAGACTCTAGACAACAGGTTAATACGTACCCAAACGGGTAACAACTGTTCGGAAAGGTCATTTCGTAACCTGGTTACTTTTAGTAATCTAAATTTCTTTTTTTATCCAAGACAAAGTTATTTACAAGTGGTTATCCCTCATTTCTCACGGTGTATCCACATTTCAGATCCTATAGACTAATGTGTTATCTCCTCTCGTCTTTAATATGCATGAACTATACGCCACAGGACGTCAAGTACCAACATTTCTTAATAAATCACAAATCCAGCTATAATGAAAGACAATAGTCTACCTGATGTTTTTTATTTATAAGAATCGTATACAAAATATAAAAGCAAAGATCCTTCATTGTATATTTAAAAAAAATGTTTGCATTGATATAGTTTTGAATAACACTATTAACCAATGAGACTGTAAATACCCCTGGGTAGTAATCTTTTATATACGCTGATATAATAAAGACCACTATTAAACGTCCTTAAACTTTGACATTCTTTTGAGCTTGACTATAGTTGTCAAAGAGAAGATGTTGATGTCAAATTGATTTTAATCAATACAAAATATATGAAATAAAAAATGAGACGACCAAATTTTTTTTCAGAAATTCGTGTGTGCTGCTTTTTGAATTAACAAAGGCATACGATCAGTTGACCCAGTACTTATCAACATTATTCACAAAGTTAAAAAAATTAGTTGAATATTTTTCGACATTTTTTAACATAATATTCCTAGCATGATAATGGTAGTGTAACAGTCTGCCCGTATGAAGCACCCGACAGCGTTGTTAGGATAATAATGGTACAGTCTGCCCGTGTGAAGCACCCGACAGCGTTGTTAGGTTCATAATGGTACAGTCTGCCCGTATGAGCACCCGGCAGTGTTGTTAGGATCATAATGATACAGTCTGCCCGTATGAAGCACCCGACAGCGTTATTAGGATCATAATGGTACAGTCTGCCCGTATGAAGCACCCGACAACGTAATTAGAATCATAATGGTACAGTCTGTCCATATGAAACACCCGATAGCTTTATTAGAATCATTATGGTACAATCTGCCCGTATGAAGCACCCGAAAGCATTGTTAAGGTTATATTGATACAGTCTGCCCGTATGAAGCACCCAACAGCGTAGATAGGATCAAAATGGTATGGTCTGCCCGTATGAAGCACCGACAGCGTTGTTAGGATCATTATGGTACAGTCTGCCCGTATGAAACACCCGACAGCGTTGTTATGATTATAATGGTACAGTCTGCTCGCATGAAGCACCCCACAGCGGTATTATGATCATTATGGTACAGTCTGCCCGTATGAAACACCCTACAGCGTTGTTATGATCATAATAGTACAGTCTGCTCGCATGAAGCACCCGACAGCGTTATTATGATCATTATGGTAGAGTCTGCTTGTATGAAGCACCCGACAGCGTTGTTAGGATCATGTATATGTAATGTGTTGTTATGCTCTCTGAATATTTCAATATTTTATTTTTGTGATATTCATTTGAATGACGATTGTATAGTCTAGTATCATCTATGTAATTTGTTATTCATTATAGATTGAATTGTGCATGCTAAGGTTATAATTAGAAACACTCCATACATCCGTTATTAATGATTCAAACTAGTCACGCTTCAAATACAAACACTCCATACATCATTGAAACAAATTAATGGCTCGTTACCGAGCATATATACACGTATTACAGGAAAACAATGTTCAATATATATTAACGTAAGTGAATATCCTCCATGCAAAAAGAAGAGAAGATAAACTATTAAACACTACAGGGAGATAACTCTGTAAAAATCAGCTAGACGTTTTAATCACGGTGTATTGTTAAGGAAATATTAAGCTTCTCAATGATCAAAATTAGTGTTTGTCAAACTGCTATATAACCAATGAAATTTTTCTGATAAAGTTGTTGGTTGAAATTTTTTGAAATTTTTATATTTTTGTCAAAGGGTCAAAGTAAACATTTTGTCAAAATTTTATGAAAATTAAACGAGCCAAATTAATATTAGTCAAGGTGTTGGGTACCAACTTAAATACCTTTTGTTCTCATTAGAAGACTATAGACATGTTTAATACACTATAACTTGTGATTGCTATTTGGATTACAAGTTTGATCTTTACTTATGAATCTTGACACAAATATGCCACATTTTCTGACTGGCCAAACAAACACCAATTAAACTAATCTTACTTTGACTTGGAAAAGAGAGGCGAAAGATATCAAAGGGACATTCGAACTCATAAGTCAAAAATAAACTGACAACGCCATGGATAAAAAAGAAAAAGACCAACAGACAAACAACAGTACACAAAACACAACATTGTAGTTACGATAGAAAGAAATTGGAAGAAATTTTTATATTCTATACCTGCTACTTAAAGAATGAATGTCTTTACCTTTTCATAGGCAAATCATTCCGTCAAAATATATCTTCAACCTGCCTTTTATAGCAAAAAGTACTTTATGGTTTTACATCATTCGTAAATATAAATTAACATGCAGACATCTTATACGTTCAGGTATTTCACATCCAAAATTTTATGGTAATATTCTTTACAAAGCACAAAAATGTCGGTATTCACCTCAAAATCTTACCAAACCTTTAAACAGACTTATTAAGAAGGGAAGGGATATAGTTACGATACTCTTGTCAGGTCATTAAGGATTGCATATTTTGGTATTAATATTGAATCACTCATAGGGTCTTTGCATCGGAAATAAACACATTTATTCTGAAACCAGTTGTTGGCATAATACGGGTTATGTTCTTCTCATATATTTTATGATGGTATGATACTAAATCCCTAGCGGGAGGGATTGTGCTTGATTTTCATATGATGAAGACATAATCTTTCAATCAGTTTAATTGAGGTCTGGAGCTGGAATGTCAGTAACTGCTAGTAGTCCTTTGTTAATTTATGTATCATTGTCATTTTGCTTAGTTTTTTTTTGTTACCTATTCTGACATCGGACTCTGACTTCTTTTTAATTGAGTTTTACTGTGCGTATTGCTGTGTGTTTCTTTATTCTACATTGGCTAGAGGTATAGGGGAGGGTTGAGCCTCTGGCCTTTGTTAGTCTTGTATGTTTTTTAATTTTAATTCAGTTATATGTTTTGGAGTTTAGTATGGCGTCCATGTTCACTGAACTAGTACACATTCTTATTTAGGGGCCGGCTGAAGCCCACCTTCGGGTGCGGGATTTTCTCGCTGCGTTGAAGACACATTGGTGTCCTTCGGCTGTTATCTGCTCTTTGATCGGGTTGGTTGTTGTCTCTTTGGTCGGGTTGTTGTCTCTTTGGTCGGGTTGGTTGTTGTCTCTTTGATCGGGTTGTTGTCTCTTTGGTCGGGTTGGTTGTTGTATCTTTGGTCGGGTTGTTGTCTCTTTGACATATTCCCTATTTCCATTCTCAATTTTATATTTTATATCAATCATTCTTGACAGTTAAATAAACACTATCGATTTGAACATATCTTTTTAGTTTTTCAAACATTCAAATAAATTGTATATTGAGAAACTTTTTTAAGAATTAAAAATAAAACATCGTTATAACTACAAGTCGGATGAAAAAAATATTAATAAAAAGCCCCTTATGAGATCGAAAGTTTAGTAGTTCATATCCCAATTCTGTTTTATAAATGTTTAGATTTCTAAGGCCCAGTATCATATGAACATTACAGATCCATGTTTTAACCAATCTCCCCATTTCGAATTTAAAACACTGACCAGCTTCAAGAACACTTCAACTACATTTTTTTATCAACACTCTCCTCTAGTTTAGTTATTCGTACATCTAGTCCAGAATCTACCGACCCTGCATGTTCATCATCTTCATCTAAAGTCAAAACATCTATGTCCTCCTCCATAATAGTCTCATTTCGTCTTTCCAGTCGAAAAACATTTTGACCATTTAACTGCAAATAATACATGTTAAAAATTAAAATTGAGAAAAATCTCCTATTAAGCTACGTACTGTTTCCGAATAAAGTTATTAGTTTTTTCTTGTAAGATTATATTAAAAAACATTGAAATATTGTTTTTTTTTTTGCAGGAACATGTTGGAAGTTTGCAGGACTTCTGCATGAAATTTGAGTAGTCATCATATCCATTTCAGTATATCAAAAGAATTTGACAAAAAGTAAAATAACAAAAAAACCTAACTCCAAGGAAAATGCAAAACGGAAAGTCCCTTATCAAATGGCAAAATCAAAAGCTCAAACACATCAAACGAATGGAAAGCAACAGTCATATTCCTGACTTGGTACAGGCATTTCTTTATGTAGAAAATGATTGGATTAAACCTGGTTTTATAGCTAGCTAAACCTCTCACTTGTATGACAGTCGATGCTCAAGAGTTGTATGTTTACCGTGTCATTCCATACTGTGGACAATTGATTAACTTCATGGCTATATAAAAAAATGTTTTGCAATGACAGTTTAAAATAATCTGACATATAAAGAGAGGCGGAAGATACCACAGGGACATTCAAACTCATAGGTTGTAATCAAAATGACAACACATTGGCAAAAAACAAATAGCGGAAAGAAAAACAGCATTTTACAAAATTTGATTTGATTTGATTTTTGGTGTTTTAACGCCACTTTAAAGCGCCGCTTTTGGGCTATTTCGTGGCGGCCAGTTTTTATTGGTGGAGGAAGCCGGAGTGCCCGGAGAAAACCACCGACCTTCGATAGGAAAACTGACAATCCTAGTCAATTAAGATTGGAGTCGAGTGCACCCGCACGAGCGGGGTTCGAACTCATAACCTCAGTGTTGACTTGCTAGTGATTACAGTAGTAACTACTTAGACCACTCGGCCACCGAGGCCCCGCATTTTACAAAACTAACCATAGAAACTCAAGACTGAGCAACACGAACCCCACAAAAAACCGAGGGTGATCTCAGGTGATCCGGAAGGGTAAACAGATCTAAACAAACAATACAAATAAATCTTAAAACCAAAAGCAATGCAGCTATAAATTTGAAATCGTCATGTGACTTTTTGTACCGTTTGATTGCTGTCTTATTTACGTATACCCACATATTTTTTTTATTCTAATACAATCAGAACTGAACACAGCAATGAAGGTATGATCACCGCATGTCTGTTTCTGGTCTTAATCTAAGTGCAACAATAGAAATGTATTTACGACTTCATTTCTAGATTCGGGCCAAATTATAACTGGACATAATTGTATTGTATCAGAAACTTGCCTCTTGTTAAAGATTGTTTGTTAAAGTCTACTTTTCTTATGTTTTGTGTTTTCTTGAGTCGTAGGATTGTTGCTGTGCTAGGGGTAACCGCCGTCTATATTAATTGTTTTACTTGGAGATGTGGTATGAATTTATTCATCTTGAAGTTCTAAAGTGGTGCAAAAAACTAAACTTGTTCAAGGGAACTATCCGCAAAAATGCATCCATTCAATCTGCAATCATTGTGTGCAAACTTAACTGTTTTGGAGACTTTATAAATCGACTGATTATAAACATATCTAGTTACTGTAATCTCTGCTGTATCATTAATGAACTGCTGCTGTGTTTGAAAACTTTTAACGAGAAAACGAAAAAAAAAAATCACTTTCTGTTATTTGAGTATCGATAATATACAGTCAGACATTTTATAATTATACAAAATTATGAAGTTGTTTGTTATCTAACGAAACGAAAAAACGAAAAGTTGAGCAAACTTGAAATTGAATTCATGATGGTCGTTGTTATCTTTGTAAATACCTCAAATGTTATCAAACATGACCGCCTACATGTACACTTCTCAAAAAGATTGATTTTCCGGAGGTTTTGCTCATTTTTGAAGGCCGTACGGTGATCTTATAATTGTAAACTTCTATTTCATTTGGTCTCCGGTTGAGAATTGTCTCATTAGCAATTATATCACTTCTTCTTTTTTTTATGATTGGTGTTTGTTCAAAGTTCAGGGGCAAACAAACCTGTTAATTCAGTACGAGAACAAATTAAAAAAAGAATAACTTAGTTAAATAGGTTCTGCGAAGTTGGTTGGCCAGGTTTGATCCACCATTTTCTACACAAAAAGAAATGCCTGTACCAAGTCAGGGATATGACAGTTGTTTTCCATTCGTTTGATGTGTTTGCGCTTTTGATTTTGCCATTTTATTAAGGACTTTCCCTTTTTGAATTTTCCTTGGAGTTAAGTATTTTTGTATTTTACTTTTTACCCGTCGAAACAAAAGATACATACATAAATAAAATATCATAAAATTCAATACTGAAAACTTCAAAAAAAAAGCAACCCAACGCCCGGTAGTTAGTCAAGATATGGATCAGACTTTTAAGTTCTATGGAGTGATGGGCTGAACAAAGATAATAAACTTTGAACTATTCAATTAGCCAAAAAACGCAGAACATGAAGTTAAATGAAAAATTATTTTATATTCTTCTTCTGAAGTTTTATGAAGTTTTACGGGAAAAAAAGTACAGATCAATAATTATTGTTTGATAATTACTCTTGTGATTTACAATTCATAAGGAATGAAATAAATAAATGAATTAAAAAAAAGCCACCAAAGGCCAGCTACTACCACACTGTGGTCAAATTATAAATTTGTGATACCAACTATTAACCAAAAATCCATTAAAAAATAAATGCCCACCATCGTTACTTAAGATAAATGATAAGTTTAGGGATACATGTTCTTTGCAATCGTTTGTTTAGTTGTTCATGACTTGCACTGCAACTATGTTTATTTGTATATTATGATTTGACAAATATCTTACCTGCGAATCGATAACTTCAGTCACCAGGAAGCAATCATATGCTTTAATTTTAGCACATAAAGGTAGAGATATCAAAACACTCAAATGTTTCGCAGCCTTTGAAATGGTAGTCACCTTTTCTAATGCACTTCCGAAAATCTGGTAACGCCCGCTTTTATCTAAAACTTTTTCATGTAAAACTTCCAAAGTAGCACATATTGAGTATTTCAAATCTTTCGGCCGTATATCATTTTGGATAATTTTGTTCAATTGAAGACACATATTTGCCGTTTCACATGGTATGGAGTTAGCTCCATTTTCAGCACAATCCATGCCAAGTATGAACACAACAGAATCGAAACTAATACTGTAAATAAATGCTGAAAATTCCTCAGCTAGAACTTTGAATCTAGAATGAAAATTTTCTATACTTTTTATTTTGTTATTTATTTTCTTCATTCCTGCAATCAGATAATGAAAATTTCTCACATCAATGTATATTAAACCAACGGGTCCTATTCGTCTAACCCCAAGTGTTTTACCATTTGTCAGAGAATGTATTATTGGTTTCGGGAGGTATGTAGTTAAGATGTGTTGTAAATGTTGTATTGTCATGTTATGCTCGACGGTCTTTTCGTCAATTTTTTCCTCTAGAAGAACCGTGTATTCCTCTATTGTTTCCATCATAGAATCCAAAACAGATTTAGTAGTCGGACTGGATCTTTTTAGCATTTTCAAAATCTGTTCAAAGGAGGGTCTATCCTCAGGAGAATGCCCCCAGGCGATCTCCATACACTGACGAACACTGATGGGCATATCGTCGATAGGTTTCGGACGAATACCTCCAATCTGAACAACAGCGTTGACTACATCTTCCGGGGACATTAAATCGGCGAGTTCCGAATAAGGATCCTCTCTCGTATAAATTTCTTGTAATATGATAGCGAAGCTATAGACATCAGATGCAGTTGTAGGGTTGCATTTATATTCCAGTCGAATTATCTCTGGTGCAACCCAAAATTCTTGATATTTTATTGCAAAGGTTGTTTCCTCCACACGGTTATTTTTGCGAAGTGCGTGTAAAGAATTCCTTTTTTCATCTTGACATATGATCAAAGAGTTGTATTCCCAATCACATATTTTAACTGTCCACTTTGAATCAATAAGGCACTTTGTCGACCTGAAATTTCCGTGGATTATATTTTTAGAATGTAAGTAATGCATTCCACTAGCAATGTCAACCGATATAGATAATTTAAGTTGTTTACTCATGTTAAATTTCTCGTTTTGTAAAAGATCGATTAGCTGACCTTTACCACAATATTCGCTGATAATATAATGATCAGAGTCTAGCTCCGTCAATCCAAAGAATCTTACTATATTATTATGAAAAAACCTATCTTTCATAACCAACATTCTCGCCTTCATAGGTCGAGTTATTTTTTTTAATTGTTGTACTTGTAATAAACGTAATCCGACTGTTTCGCTATTCCATTTCCCTGGCCACTGTAAAACTTGTTGAATTAAATCTGGACACTCTGATGCCTGTGTTGAAGAATTAAGAGAAAATATTGACTTTCCGCTAATGAACTTAGACTGAAGTGAATTCAAAACCTTCTGGTCATAAAAAAATATTACATCTTCAATCGGGATAAACCAGTCATCATTGTTGATTTTTCTATAGAATTTGATCCTTTGAAAGCATATATAACTAGAAAAACTTAGAACAACAAATATAAACAATGGTACTGAAACAGCTACAGGGACTATCCATGTCACTGGCTGCTTATTTTCTGCTGCAATATTAGCTTTCATCATATCCCAAACAGATTGACTTTGGCACGTAAACTCTTTAAGGACTTTTTCAGTGATTCTCGCCACCATACTGGTACTCAATGGTGCCATACCATAGGAAATACAAACTTTGCGTTGTTCGGAATCTGTCATGAACCAGTCTATATATCTTATAAATTCTCTTGCAGATACACAGCTTGACATTGATGTCTTGTATGCAATAAAATGAGTAAATCCAGCGATAGGATACGACGTTTCACTACCTGCGTTGTGTAAGGAAAATGTAAGATCTGAATTTATTTGAGCAAAATAATCCATTGAGTTTTGCACATTATGTGCAGTTGCCTGACAGAAGAAACCCTTTCTGTTTTCGATATATGCTGTTTGCAAACTAGATTCTTCTGCACTGCCAGCTGATAAGTATCCAATAGAAAAATCGAAAGACATTAAAATTCCTGAAACACCAGCAGACGTTTTACCAAAATAAGCTATAACATCTGGTTCCCACCTTTCATGTAAGCCAGTAACTGAATTAACACCATTTGAAAATATTCCATACGCATTATCCCATGCAGGACTAAATGAAGAGAGTGCTTCGGTAAACAGCGAAGTCGTTCCGGATTTATCAGCTCTTGCTAAGACAATTAACCGATGATACGGGAATATAAATTTTGGATTACTATGCTGGATGAGTGTATCGTTCCACCATCGAATTGTTCCATTAAAAATACCAACAACCACCTCTCTTGTCAAATTTAACTGAGAATCGAATCCTGGTAGTTTGAAGGCGAGGACTACAGCACTGAAAATAAGATGTTTTAAGAGTTTTATATTTATTTGTGTTATATGATCGCATTAAATTCAAATTTTGAATTTCAAAATAAATCGATACTACTACAACTTAACAATTAAGGGGATTTGTAACAAAATTGTCTGCTCAAGAGGGAAAACGAAAGGATATGGTCGTTAAATTATTTAATATTTATATGTGTGCGATGACACCCCATCGTTCCGCGTAAACACACAAAAACACCACCACACATCAACCATACACGCGAAACATAAATAAAAGCATTTCCATTAACCTTCACCGTAACAGAACCAACAAATATACAGACAAAAATAAAAATACCGAATATTAGCATATTTGCATAAACAAGTCTTGTATACAATTATCCAAAAAAAGTTCACATCACAAAATACATTCAAATGAATAAACTATTTATGCAATATTTTGTCCTTCATTTCTATTTTGATCGGGATGACATGAGGTACATGTCGTTATCAAATCTGTCAAAAATCATTGTTTTATCCTCATACCTTCAACTCGGGCTTTTTAAGCTGTAGTATTTTGCACCTAACATGAAAGAGTCATAATTGTACATAACTGCAAAAAAATATTGTTCTTATATGATTGGTATGACCTCAATTTGTTTGTCAAACAATAATTTTAGAAATATCAATGGCTATAAATTGAAAAACAACGAAATACTAATGTAAAAAGAGAATGCATTTTTAAAGGTTTCATAGTACGGTAAAACTACAGACAAATTGCAAATTGTGAAACAAAAAACATGACATTAAAATGCCTCTTGTAACAGTATGCTTTAATGCTGATGTTATTTCTAAAAAATGTTAACATACGTGATTGTTGGTGTTGTTTTTTTTTCTTTGTTAGACGCTGTAAGCACATACACGATATTTATAAATCCTACTTGTTTATCATATAATGTATTTGCTTTTACAGTTTTTGTAGTTTATCCGTTTAATATTGCCTGTCAAAACTTTAATCAATTAACTATAAATACGTATATATTCAATTTGATCAGCTGTCAAGATGAAGAACAGGAATAAAAGCCCTGTTCATTGATAATTTTCTATGTTTCTATGTATTGTGTGCGATTTTGTCCCATGTACATTTACTCCATATCCTTTCATTTTTTAAGAATTGAAAGTACTTATGTTACAAGTTTGATGTACATCCTTGGCTTTCAAAATATTCGGCTTTGAGAGTTCCTGATGAAGGTAAATCGATAAAAAAAAAACCCCAAAATGCTATAAAATAGCTATTTGAAACAAAGAGTGCAATAAGTAATCGATTGACTTGCATTGCTGATATTTTTTAATGTTTAATACTACTCTCTGTCTATCAAAGTTTCACGATGATAGCCAAAAAACGCAAAAATGAGTACAAAAATTGTCCTTTTAGGACAACAACTTTCCATTCTCAATTTTAACTCCTATGAGGAGACCATTGACAATGTCAGCAATTAGACTATTTGCCGCTTTCGGTCACTATATACTTAAGTTTCTTGATAACGGCTAAACAATGGTAGAAGTTGTCATTTAAGAGCAATAATTTGAGTCGATTGACGTTATCGATCATCAAAATAATTTTTATATCTTTTCTTTTTTAGATTTGCTGTCAACATTTTTTTCTCAATCTATTATAGCTTTTACGATAATTTTGAAACAGTTAGTTCTAATGCAATGCTGTTACACCAAGTCCGAAGTAAGGGAGGGGATTGGATCAGCACAATCATGTTTAACCCCGTCATTGTCTTTATATCTCATGTCAGGAGTCTGTAACCCAATAGTTGTCATTGGTTGCTGTCTGCAAGAATTGTGTTTCGTTATTTTTGTATAGAAATCAGACCTTTGGTTTTCTCCTTTGAATTGTTTCATATTTTGTCATATCAGAGTCTTTTATAGCTTACTGTATGATATTGGTTTAGTCATTAGCGAAGGCTGTTCGGTGACCTGCAGTTGTGTACCCCTCGTCTTATGGTCTCAGATTGATAGTGATTTTATAGACAATAATACCACACCTCCTTATTTGTATACGAAAGGGAAACGCGCCTTTAAAGAGTCAATTGACGATTTCGTTTCAATAGAAATATTTGTAGATCATAACGAGCGCATCGTTTTAAGTGACTTTTTAGCTTACCTGGCCCAAAAGGGCCAAGTGAGCTTTTCTCATCACTTGGCGTCCGTCGTCCTCCGTCGTCGTCGTCCGTTAACTTCTACAAAAATCTTTTCCTCTGAAACTACTAGGCCAAATAAAACCAAACTTGGCCTAAATCATCCGTAGGGTATCTAGTTAAAAAAATATATCCAATGACCCCGCCCATCAACCAACATGTCCGCCATGGCTAAAATAGAACTTGGGTGTCAAATTCAGTTTTTGGCTTATATCTCTGAAATAAAGCATTTAGAGCAAATCTGACAAGGATAAATATATTCATCAGGTCAAGATCTATCTGTCCTGAAATTATCAGACGCATCAGACAACCCCTTGTTGTGATGCTGCAACTAATTTGGTAATTTTAAGGAAATTTTTCAGGTTTTGGTTATTATCTTGAATATTATAATAGATAGAGATAAACTGTAAACAGCAAAATTGCTCAGCAAAGTAAGATCTACAAATGAGTTAACATGATCAAAATTGTCAATTGACCCCAAAAGGAGTTCTTGCCCTTTAAAGTCAATTTTTACAATTTTTCGTAAATTTTTGTAATCTTTTACAAAAATCTTCTCCTCTGAAACTACTACGCCAAATTAGACCAAACTTAGCCTAAATCATCCTTAGGGTATCTTGTTTGAAAAATGGATCTGATGACCCCGCCTATCAACCAAAATGGCCGCCATGGCTAAAAATAGAACATAGGGGTTTACTTTAGAAGTCTATGGGAAAATTGTAAAAAAATAATTTCAAATGGTCACAACTTGAAAACTAATTTAAATAATGGGGTCTTCAGTAACTATTGTAAGCCTACAATGGGATGGCCTGCTTTTAATTTAACTACTGGGCCAAATTAAACCAAACTTGGTCTCAATCATTATTGGGGTATCTAATACCGTTTTGTTATGATTTTAACCTTATTTTACATGATTTCCAAAACCACAGTAGATACAGGTGAGCGACACTGGCTCTTGAGAGCCTCTAGTCTTCTCTATCTGTTATGACTTTTTTAGATATAGCTGAACACACAAATAATTTTAATTATTGCTAGTCGGACATACGTGACATCATTTGTAGATACCCTAAAGATGACTGCAGGAACTTTTGGTCCAGATTAGCTTAAAGACTTTCGACGAGATGATTATTGAAAAAGTTATCGACGACGACGACGGAAGATGATTGATGCCAAATGATCGCAATAGATCAGGTTGACGTTAGGTCCAATTGTAGCTTTACGCCAATGTACATATGGAGTAGCTAATTTTAGGAAAATATCTTCTCAAACCGATCCTCACGGAACAAATGGCTTCTGTCTTTTAGAGTCCTAAATTAATGTCCCTTATGTAGACACCGTGACAGTGGAAGGTTAAATAAGGTTTTTCAATGATTGTCATTTCAATATCAAGTAATTACTGTAAATTCAGGAATTTTGGCGTGCATTTATTATTGCGGTTGTTGAATGAGCAACACGACGGGTGCCACACGTGGAGCAGGATCTGCTTATCCTTCGTGGATTACCTAAGATGACCCCGGTTTTTGTACGGTTCGTATTGCTCCGCCTTTAGTTGTTTATGTTGTGTTTTGTATACTGGCGTTGTCAGTTTATTTTTTGGTATCTTTTGCCTCTCTTTTTGAACAATTATTTATTACACTGTTGAGCAATTAACAAAAAAACGAGCTTAATTGTTGTAATTTCCTAAAATGCTATTTAGAAAAAAATGCTATGCAAATTTGAAATGAAAGTAATGAAAGTTTTCATTTTTGTGAAGCAGTATATGTATATAATTCATACAAAACAAATGGACGTCTTTCAGTAAGAGTAGCTACAATGGTTTTGTGCTTCCAGAGAGCATACCATACTCCCATACAGTGCCTTTAATGAACGTTCCTAATTAGTTTGAAATTTGCTTCTTTCTATTAAACATTGAAACACAATGAACCGGCTTCGATTGACAAGCGTAGTTGTAAGAGTAATGAACATTTTCAAACAATACACTTAGACAGTTGGTGCAAAGCAACACAAATAGTCGGAACATTAACAAGTACAATTAAAAATCATCCTCCCTACGTAACACAAAATAATATTGAAAAAATATCTTGAAAGTCAAGTATCCATAAAGACTAAAACGAAAAATTTAAACCGTAATAACCGATTGAAACACAAAATGAAGTATAAGTATCCTGTTGGCAGCAAAAAAGACTTTTTTGAAACAATCAACGCAATTTTCTCATTAAGTTTTAGTTTTCTAATGGTTTCGTATATTTTATTACAATGCATGTGTTTCAAGCGTAGCTCATTTGAACAACAAATGATAACTTCCGGAACCCATTTTGTAAAAACAGAAAACTTGTCAGATGGAGATTAAAATGCACTTTAATTAATAGGCAATACGTGTATCACGGTATACACCCGGTTTTCAAAAACGCGTTTAGACGGCCATTTGGAACGATTTTCACAAATAATAAGGAATTAAAAAAATACTAACAACAACAAAAGGCCATCAATAATAAACCACACACTCTTCCAAGAGTAAATAATACAGGCTAGTATAAACGATAAAATACAATATGCGGATTTGATAACCTGTTAAGGCATAACATATGATTTGGTTTAACAGGACATCTAGGTACCAAAAATATGTTCATCTAGTCTTCTCAAGTCCGGCAGTAAGATCAATGTTCAGGAGCTCCCTCAGGCTGTGCGGAATTCATACATACGAAGCCACGTCCGGTCGAACAAGGAATGTTCAATCCGATGTCTTGAGATAAAAAAAATACCACGATCTCTACTTTACGTTAAATAAACCTTGCAAATACTACCCGATGGTTTTGAGGAAGCATGTTACTAGACTCTCTTTCTGCTTCTATCCAACCTATTCTTTTTTTTCAATAGCAGGCTAAATTCCGCGCCATTCATCAAGTCCAACAACCTTGCAGAACCTTATTCTGTAATGTATTGTTTAAACTTGTTTTCATCCAAACATGAAATAGTTTGGACGTTAGGTTAACACCAATATTTCAATCAAACAATCTCCAAATATGTGAATTTATAGATAATTAAACTCATCATTGATACAAGTATTAAAATTGTGTACGCCCGTCTCCAAAAGACTCATTCGTGACGCCCGAATCATAAAATTTAAAAAGGCAAAATAAACAACAGTTAAAATGATGAGGAAGAGGGAGGCTAAAACATTAAAATTTATTGATTGTACTACCTATACATATCATAATCAAAGTGAGACTCAAACTTTTTTGCGTTATTAGGATCGAACATGTATTGTCTAAGTGAAAATCATATTGTTTTTTTTCAAAAACAGGAAGTCTACTTATCACATGATGTCTTCAAGGTGTTTAAGGTAGCACTACAGTCAGAATTTTCTGACTCCAACCAACAGTCTTTAAAGATTAATTTCTCCAAAACTACTCAAAGGATTTTTAAAATCTTTAACTCATTTTAAAGCTGAAATATTACTCTTTCTTAATCTATAGATAAATTTGGTATGATAAATCTCAAAATATTGCTCATTAATTGCCAAAAAAGTGGTCTTCCAACTTGGATGAAAATGGCACATTCAGGTCAAATGGTAGTAAAAATTTGTTTTCATCCCTTTAATTAACCATATACAAGCTACAAAACCGTGTCTCAGATTTTTGATATATGCCTCCAGTAAGAAGATATATTGATTTAACTGCTGGGTGCCAAACCTCATTTCACCTTTCATCTTTGGAGACCTATAAATTCATTTAGAAACAAATTATCCAAAAACTGGGACATGGTATTGTAGAAAATACTCCCTTTAATCACATATATCAAAGTCAAGCCAAAGGGGGTACCCATAAAGTTTATATTTTCATTTTTTCCTAACAAATCTCACGAAAAATTGTTCTGAGAAATGACCTAAAAACGGAATTTCCCCCTAAGAACCCCTATAAATGCAACATAATTACAAAAATTCCACTGGGAACACCCCAGGAGTGTTCTGACACCATTATTTTATCAATAGAACCACACACTTTGTGTCTTTGATGCTCTGATGCTGTAAATTTTGCATTATGTGTGGCACTGTGCAACACTAACTTGGCATTTCGCGGGAGTTTGACGTCACAGATTTGACCAACATCTGTGATGTAGTAATTAAACAGAGACAAAGCTCCGCCTCTGTCCAGACAGTCTAAGATAAGAGAATAACAAGATTGCCAGCTGCATATAATCAATATTTAACATCATTATTCTCACTATAAAGAATAATTTTCATTTGTATTTTAAAAAGAAATATACTATTACTGAAATTAGCTAGAACATTAAAATTGTGCATCAAAAGACATGTTTATAAAAAGATCCAAGACCATCCCCTTCTTTAAAAAAAAGACAATCCCACATGAGTTTTGAGTTTTATGGAATAGAAAAATTTCAAATAAACTTAAAATTGGTTAAAATGCCTAAAACTGTATTTAAATGTAGAAGACCATATAGAAGAAATTTATACAGGTAGTCGCAGGTTTTCAAAGATACTTTCACACTATTTTCCATATTTTTTTTCATTTTTGGTAGATTTCTTCCCTTTAGATTTTCATATCTTTTTCTTTTTCTCTGTTTATAAACATGTTATATAAATTACTTTTGTTGCAATACAATGAGATAAGACCACAAAATTTATCTTGTGGTCAGGGATTAACAACTGGACACTGGTATCAACAGATGATTGACATATTAGTTAAATTTAGACAATAAATATGAAGATTTTGTTAAAATTATACATACTGAAATGGATTTAAAGCTAAATAAACGTAAAACTAATATATATGATGGCAAAAGTAACAAAAGGAGACGAATGAAAAAATCGTGGTGGATCGACAACTTAACACTACTTTGGAACGATGTATGTAAAGCCGAGCGTGCGTGGCATAAGTGTCATAGCGGATGCAAGAAGGATTTACGCCATATATTTGTAGAAAAACGGAAATTATTCGACAAAAGCAGTCAGAAAGCTAAACGACAGTTTTGGTACCACAGTCAGGAACAACTTCTAGATGACCAACAACGGGATCCTCGAGAGTTCTGGAAGAAGATTGGTGAAGTCGGCGTTGGAAATGAACGACAGAAATCTATACCGATGGAAGTGACACTAGACGATGGGACAACTAGTACAGATACAAACACTGTGTTAAATAAATGGAAAAACTGTTTTGATAAATTATTAAATTGTAATAATCAGACCATTGACACTAATGTTAATATTAATATTCCAGATGATTTTTTAGATAGGGAAATATTGTTTGAAGAAGTAGTAAATGCTGTTGCTAAAAGTAAAAATGGCAAGTCACCTGGTATTGATCAGTTGTCAGTAGAATTATTTAGAAATAATGCATTGATGTTAACTTTGCATAAGTTATTTAATATATGTTTCAAGTATGGAAAAATTCCTTCTGTATGGGGTAAAAGTATTATAACCCCAATTCCTAAGTCTTCAACTTCAGATCCACGAGATCCTTTATCATACAGGGGCATAACTTTAGCTCCCTGTGCATATAAATTATATTGCAGTGTACTAAATGATAGATTAGTGTATTGGTTAGAACAAAGAGATATTATTCATGATGAGCAAAATGGCTTCCGTAAAGGTAGAAGTACAATTGACCATCTAAGTACATTAACTTCAATTATTGAAACTAGAAAACTGAAAAAGTTATCAACATTCACAGCTTTCATAGATTTTAAAAAAGCGTATGATACTATTAGTAGAAAATTATTGTTTACTAAATTGGATGATTTAGGAATTAGTACACATTTTTTATGTACATTGAAAGCTATATGTTCACATGTAGAATGTTGTATTAAACTTAATGGTAATATGACAGACTGGTTTAGCGTTAATTCAGGTTTAAAACAAGGATGTGTATTATCGCCTGTTATGTTCAATATTTTTATTAATAGTTTAATTGATGTAATAAAAGCACTAGACATTGGTGTAGACATTGATGGTGAAAAAGTTGGTATACTTTTATATGCTGATGACATTGTATTTATTGCTGAAAATGAAAATAATTTACAGACTCTATTAGATGTATTAAGTAGTTGGTGTGTTACCAATTGTATGAATGTGAACTTAGATAAAACTAAAGTTATCCATTTTAGGAACCCTTCGGTTCAACAAACATCTAAATCTTTTTTGTTGAATAATAATACAGTACAAATAGTATCTTGTTACCAATATCTGGGTCTACTGTTGACAGAATATCTCGATTATAATGAGATGGCTAAAGCTGTAACAAGGTCGGCAAGTCGAACTCTAAGTTTATTGATTGTTAAAAGTAAAGCACATGGTGGTTTCCAGCACAGTACCTTTACAACATTATTTGATACTCTGGTCTGGTCAGTCATAAGCTACGGTGCATCCATTTGGAGCACTCGTTCATTTTCTTGTATAAACGCTGTCCAGAACAGAGCTATCAGGTTCTTTATGGGTGTTGGCAAGTATACGCCAAATGATGCTATTAACGGGGACATGGGCTGGAGACCACCTAGTGTAAAACAATGGACATGTATCTTTAGGCACTGGGCAAGATGTAGTGTCATGACCAATGACAGAATAAATTATAAAGTTTTCAAATGGTCACATAAAAATGCTGTGAATAATAAGAAAAACTGGTGTAATAGAGTCATGAAAAAACTTAAAGATAGTAATTTTGAATTGTATGCTTGTATTGATAGTGTGCTGCATAAGAATATTGTTCTACAACTTGAAAACGTTTTATTTAATAAATATATTGCAGAATGGCAAACGAAAATTTTGTCACAGGGTAATGGTAACAAGCTTCGTACTTATAAGCTATATAAATCACAATATTGTACAGAGTTATATTTAAAACAAAATATGTCTATTAAATTTAAAAGTGCTTATGCAAAATTTAGGAGTGGTGTTGCTCCACTTAAAATAGAAACAGGACGATATGAGAATAAACCAATAAATGAAAGATCTTGTTTTATGTGTAAAAATGAAATTGAAGACGAAAAACATGTATTTACTTTATGTCCTTTATATGCAGACCTTCGAAATATATTGTATAGTGAAGCAGTAAAACATAATGATCAATTTTATAACTTGTCTAATGACGAAAAGTTTATATTTTTATTCAGAAAGAAGAACTATGTCAGGTAGTTGCTAAAACCTGCTTTAATATTTTATGTAGAAGAACAAATTTCTTATTTGTATATAGCTGATGATGTATTTTAAATCTTAGATAATATATAGTTTTAAAATTATGTTAAATATTGTATATAATTAATCATTTAATAGTCTCTCATAATTCTTAATAGAATGGCGCTTGTATATGTTTTAGTATTTAAGCTAATGATATTTTACTGTTAATTTTAATATATTATATGTTTTATATATGTTTTTCAATATTTTATGTTATACGCAATGTTTTATATGTATATTGGAATGTATAATGTTATACAAGTGGTGAGACTTTAATAAAATATTGAATCTGAATCTGAATCTATAAGCCCCTCCTAAATGCCTATGTATTTAGATTAATTACCATGTGCTTTTATTTACATAAGTTCATTATCAATTTACTCCCTGTTGTGATATGAGAATGACTTTGGGATTTTTACAAACTGTGCAGAATAATACTTAATTCAAAATTATGTGATAAAAAAAATATCTTCAAAAAATCATTGTTAGACTGTAGTGCTACCTTAATAGGACGAAATGTTTCTCTAACTGTTTTTGAATAGTAGTGGTTGCTTTTTAATAACAAGAAAATGAAAAGAATATCCAGGTATTGAAAAGAGTTGCCGCAATATGTAAATATTTTCTGTTTGTCTTTTGATTTTGATATCTTCTGCCTCTCTTAAAACAATCACGGCATAGCATATTCACTTCTAGAAATTCAACACCTCCCAATTCTTTTACTTACTATCATTACAATGGTACGTTAAATATACACCCATGTCTCTTTGTCTGCTTTTTTTAAATTGCGTTGACTGTATCCTTACTAGGGACAGAAAATTAAACCTAGCGGAGTTTGACAAGTTTCTGAGCTCTCAACCTTCCCCTATTCTAGGACAGTGATGTAAATTAAGGAAACAGTAGTTTTACGATGTAAAAATCTCGTAAACTGATTAGTATGAGAGAAATCAAGGCTACTAACACAAACTGAGGGAATCGCATAACTTCCCAAAACAGGAACGAGACAGGTTGCGTCGACGGGGAGCGTCTCCTACTATGTACGCATCACCGCCATCAGAATTCAAACTCAAACGAAAATGCAAAAATTGGGAACATTTGTATAACATCACAGTATAAGTACAAACAGAAAAAATCATTTGGATAAGGATTGCTTCATCAGATCAAAATACAATAATAGACACAAAGTACCGATCTAAGTACTGGCAGTTTAAGAAAGCTAGTTCAAAGCCAAGTTAAACTAGTTAATAAAGCATGTTTTCTTAGAATAAAGTATCGATAAGTACACATACAAAAGAATTGATTTTTAAGACGTCTGAGAAAAGCATGCCTCTACGTCTTTTTCACGTTTTATATATTTTCTATTACAATGTCTATGATAAAGTGAAGTATATTTTCTAAAGCCAAGTGGTGTTTTAATGTGAGGACCACTCACATTAGTAGAATTGGTATTGTAATACTTGATTTCTAAATTTGGAAATATTTAAAATAGAATTAATTGGTATGTGGCTGTTTTTGTTATTAGTGCTAATGGTTTGTATTCATTAATTCCCATGACCATATATAAGAATGCTTTGAAAGTTAATTTCATTTTTATTTGATAATGTTTTCTATCATTTTTCTGTGTACAATCTTATAAGTCAGGTGATTAACATAAACATCGTCAACGTATCATTAGCGTTGACTCTTTTTGTGTATTGACTACATGCCTTTATCTTAAAATAGAATTGATGACTACTCTCTTGGTAATAAGTACCTTTAAATAATATTATACATTTACATCTAAGCGATTCCGTTTTTCATTTATATATTGTAAGAATCAAGTCAAAATTGCATATGAAGTGTGCATTAAATGATAAAATATATACATAAGGCAAATTGCCTAACTGAATGGAATACAGCAACTGACGATATATCGTTTTATCATTGCAGATGGAATCTTTTTATTGTATTTCTTTCATGTATTTAAATATGCTATTTATCTTTATATTATTCCACTGAAAGATGCTATTTATTTATATGTACATTTAATCATAATGACCGTAAAATTATTGCATAGAAAGGATGATTAGATGAAAAGTAATTTAAAATTTTTCATTTGGGACCATACGGAATTTCAGTATATAGTGTATCTGGAGTAATAACGACGTAGGCGCATCGCAAGTGCACTTTTGCTCTGCAACTTCGTGCTATATTTAGTCTTATTTATTTGTTTGATTCGAGCGTCACTGATGAGTCTTTTGTAGACGAAACGCGCGTTTATCGTACAAAAATTAAATCCTGGTATCTATAGAAAATGAAAGGATATGGAGTAAATGTACATGGGATGAAATCGCACACAATACATAGAAAACATAGAAAATTATCAATGAACAGGGCTTTTATCCCTGTTCTTCATCTTGACAGTTGATGTTGGGTCTTCAACAATGAACGAATGATGAGTTACTGTAGGTATACTACTAATAATTATGCATGATTAATTAGGTAATGAATGCTTTCTAAATTCTAGACATTTTCCGTTGCGGGAACTAAAATAATTGTTTGTCATATATAGCAGTTTTTTGGAGTTTGTAAAACGTTCGCTTTTGAAATTGATGGTATTTAATTGATGCAATATTTTAATAGTATTATCTTTCATTTTTGCTGGTGTGTTTTGTACGTTTGACTTTATGTGTTTCTTTGTTACATATGACGTGGCTCTTTACTTTTGAAGATCCCACCATTTTGTTATTGTTCTATTATAATACCATTATGTTATTGTTCTATTATAATACCATTATCTATTATAATTTTGAAAATACTTTGAACGAAAAAATTATTTTACTCGCGTAGTGCTATTAACCATGTGTGGATTCTTTAAAAATTCTAAAGAAATTCTGGATAATTTTAAATCTCGGTCTTTTTCTGAAATTAGTTCTAACAAAAACTTTTGATTTTTCAACCCTGTATACCACCATTCCCCATGTGAAATTATAATTTTGAAAATACTTTGATCGACAAAATTATTTTATATTTCTTCCTGTGTGACGTTTACATTTTCTGGCGTCAAACACGCGACTCTACACTACCCGTAGATGTGAATGCAGTCACAGGACTTTAAATATTTCAATTCTTTATTATTTGATATATAATAAATATATAAGTAAGCAATGAATGCGGTTGTTAAATTTGATAGATGCTTTTTGTGCTTCTTTGTTAAATGTTTGTTTGTTTTGAGATTGTGACACAGTGATGACTGCTGTACCCATATTTTGACAATGTTACCTATTATGTCTGTTTTGTTCACGCATCGTTGTAAATATAAGGATATTTGATGCGACTGTCATACAAGTGAGAGGTTTAGCGCTATAAAACCAGGTTCAATCCACCATTTTCTACATTTGAAAATGCCAGTACCAAGTCAGGAATATGACAGTTGTTGTCCATTCGTTTGATGTGTTTTATCATTTGATTTTGCCATTTGATTAGGGACTTTCCGTTTTGAATTTTCCTCGGAGTTCAGTATTTTCGTGATTTTACTTTTTACTGCGTCA